ATCTCAGCACTACGCGTAGGCTGATGCAGTATTCACGGGCTGCAAGTGGGGCCCAGCCAGCCTTACAGCATCCGAGACTTAATCGAACAATTACTGAAACAGCTACATTATAATACTTGAACATCCACACGATTAGTGATTTACAGCAAAAGAAATGTTCCTGCCTTCTAGATGATCAACTGATCTCAGAATCACTTCGTTTTTGGACTTTGCCCATCGTCCGGTATTCTACAAACTAGAAAACACGTTTCGGAAACTGGATCTGTTTCCTTCCTCAGGCGAGTAGAAGACACCTACCCCAGTGATTGAGGTTAACTCCTTATAAGGGATACAACTGAGTAGGCGTCTTCCACTCCCCCCTCACCTCAGGACGGATACAGAACCAGTTTCCGAAATAATTTCTAGAATACCGGACGATGGACAAAGTAAAGAAACCCCAGTGATTCTTAGTGTTATACCCCACCGTCAGAGCCCTTCAGAATCATCAGGTGATATGTTAATATACCTCCTTGCACAACCTGCGCTTAAATTTATATGTTGGATGGCAGTTAACCTATCTCTATTTAGCCGGACATTTAATCGAATACTGAAAGGGTAACATTATATTTAAGCATCCTGTTGCACTCTATACGATAAATGATATAATGATATAAACTCCGTCCCAAGTGCAAACAATATATTATGTGTCCTTGATCTTGCTCCTTTACACTACATGTTTCGGCCTCAGACGGCCATCATCAGGTGTATAACACTCACGTTGCTGTCACACTGCACCCAGCCCAAAACTTAACATTTAAAACACTTTCCTTGTTATTATCAACATCTACTTCGTTGATATCTGTCTGGTTTGTAGATTATTTTACACACGTTAATTTTGACTTTCCTGTAGTAGCACTATAAAATCTTTGGTTCTAATTTTAAAATCTTTTAAAATTTTTCTCTAAATTTTAAAATTTAAAATTGTTAGGGTTACTCGCCCTATGTCTAAAGTGCTGCAGCGGCTAGGAAGACTACAGGAAGACTACACAGGATAACACCTATACAGTGTGGAAACAAGAACTAGCCGCTGCAATACGTTAGACATAGGGCGAGTAACCCTAACAATTTAAAATTTTAAAATGTAGAGAAAAATTTTAATGGATTTTAAAATTAGAACTAAAGATTTTATAGTGCTACTACAGGAAAGTCAAAATTAACGTGTGTAAAATAATCTACAAACCAGACAGATATCAACGAAGTAGATGTTGATAATAATAAGGAAAGTGTTTTTAAATGTTAAATTTTGGGCTGGGTGCAGTGTGACAGCAACGTGAGTGTTATACACCTGATGATGGCCGTCTGAGGCCGAAACATGTAGTGTAAAGGAGCAAGATCAAGGACACATAATATATTGTTTGCACTTGGGACGGAGTTTATATCATTATATCATTTATCGTAAAATATAACACCTGGATCGTACAAATGGTTCAAGGCCTCATACGTGTAGAGTTTTTAATATTTCAATGTTTTGTATTAGCTCTCGCAGGCGGTTGGTGCTGTGCTTCGCTTGTATACCTTAACTTGGTGCTGGTACAGGTGTCCGGAGACAAGGACTAGGCTCTATCGATTGGGCCCAGCTGAGTAGGTTTTACATGAAGACGGAGACAGAATCCAGTCTCAAAAACGCTATGTGTTTTAGATAAAAACGGAAAGAAATATTTGTACTAATGTAGCATTAATCTCATTAACTATAAGTGTTTGCTGATCACAAGGCACCGCTCTTTATCCTTCTGAACATGATTTCGACACATCCCTTTTATCTTACCCTGTTCTGCTCACTCTTCCATCATCAGAAACATACGCTGAAGAGTTTTCGGATCAATGCGTAAAACGATAAATTTCTAAAAACAAATATTTGCTTGTAGTAAGTAAATAATTTTAGGACGTTAACACGATATATAATTTAGATTACTTAACAAGTATTCAAAAGTAAAGTTATAAGTTAAAGTTAAATACTTGACTGTGTAAATTACTTATAATAACATAAAATGTTCCAATACTTCATATAGTTAATGTGGTTACAAGGGATAACTTTTACATATCAATGAGGTTGTAATAGTGGTTTCCTAAATGTTGATCGTGTCCTTCTGAAGATGGTCAATCAGATTGAAACATTTTTTTTCTGCGGTTTTAGTCCGTAAGCGAACTATACCGACCGAGCGACCGCCGCTTGTCGGCGAAGTTAGTGTCATCTTTTGCGGATAGAGGGGGTGTCGCGTGGTCAGCGCAACGAATCCCCACGGCGGTTAATTTCGGTTTCCTAGACCAGAGTCACTATTTTCTTCAAATAAGCTCCTCAATTATCCTCACGAGGCTGAGTGGACCCCGTTTCACACCCACTACTCAGAAAATATGGTAGCGCCGGGAATCGAACCCGGGACCTGTGGATCTGTAGCCAGTAACTCTGGCCACTAGACCATAGAGGCGGTCATCCGAAACAGGTTAAGGATATGAAATACTGAAATACAACTTTTATAAATCAATCAAACTGGACTGTGCTACAAGTCGTTTTATACTAATGTGATACGATAATTCAAACTGTCATGTCAGATGTGAGATGCGGCTAATGTTTGTGGAACTGCACGTACTTAACAGCTTAACTGCCTGCAGGGCCCATTCGAACTCGGGCTACTACAATACGCCAAGGCGGCTGATCGAACACTGGCGATATAGAGCACAAAAAGGAGTAGGATATGACGCACTCCTGCCTATTCACTCGTACCGTCGCTACGTTATCAAGACAAACAGCTGAATGCTGAGTTTACGTACAACTGATTGGACAGTCCGTACATTTACGAGTAAATAACATGGAGACGGGAAACTTGCCTTGTATCAGATGCGAATCTTACATAATCAGAACTTAAAAATTCTGACTTTATCCCAGGAGAACGGCATCTCCTTAAATGACAAGAGTAACTTTGTCCCTGTGCTTAATTAATTAAGCGCCCTGCCATTAAGATGTATGTGTGAGTGCAGGCGCAGTTCCACAATTCTTGACCTCGGTACTAGATGGAGGTGTGGTCAGCTTCACGCCCCGATCGCTTTAACCCCCGCGGAGAGAAAGTCTCCGGTACCTATTGGATAGATCTGGATGCTGTGGAGAAGTGAAAGTATCTCTTGCCCCTGCCGGGATTCGAACACCGACAGTCCAACCCGTATCCCGTCGCTATACCGACTCAGCTATCCCTGTTTTCAGTAACCTCATTTACAAAAAATATAATGAAGTTTAGTATATGATTCGTTATTTACTCTCGGTATACTTGAAATGAGTAATGTGGCTGCTTATGGTCTGACGACCGAAGTTGTATTACCGGCAGGAACAGAGATGCTTCTCTGCAGACTTGCCCTGGGAAGCCACTCAATCTGCTGTCCAGTTGCTACCTCATTTGTTGTAAAACGGCCGTAATGTGAACCAAACAACTCACTTCCGTATAGCAGAGGTTAAAAAGTTCGTGGAATTTCGTGTTCACTCCGGTTACACGTCATCATGGCGCACTGCTTCAGGAACGGTAATTTTAGCTTAGTCTGGCTTTATCATTGCTTCTTATTTACAAAACTAATTGTGGCTACAGATAAGCATACTCCGTCAGAGCTGTGAAGGTTACAGTTGGTGTTCGAAAAGGATACCAGAATACAGGCCCCATATGAAGCTATTACATTTGAAGTGTACATAACTTCAGGTTACTATTATGAATAATGAGAAGCGTGGTTTGAAAAAACTGCAAGGTGAGCCGGAAACAATTTACCCCTTCCCACGTGATTACGCTTATGTAAGATACTGAACCCAAGGTCGTATGAACAAAATACAGAAATAAACACAATGGCTGATCGCAGTGCGTTTCTCAAGTGATGTCAAGGATTGTCATGGGACACAAAGGCGTTTATCCGGAGGCCATCTGCAAAACGAACGTTCTTATGAAGAAAACCTACATTACGTCGTTTCTTACTTTATATCACAATATTCTATCAACAACATATGGTACATGGCCGAGCGGTCTAAGGCATGAACTGACCTTGCATGCTCAATCCCTGGAATCGTGGGTTCGAATCCCACTCAAGGCATGCATGTCTATATGCGTTTATTCTGTGTTTGTTTAGGTAGCGGCCTTGCGATGGGCTGATCCTCCATCCAAGGAGTCCTATCGATTGTCTTAGATTAAAAAACTGAAGTGGAATGAAGCGTTCCACGGACGCCCTACGCTGCAAGTGCGAGCAACAGGAACAGAAGACGAAAAAGATGATGATGATACGGTATATGACGTCAGTATCATCCCGGTATTTCTCTGGAGGTACTAAGGTACATCATCTACATCTTATTATTGTAGCTCTCCGAGGGATTCGAACCTTGGACCCGAATACAAAATAGGAACAGCCTCTCCTGACCAGGTCACACTGAACCTCAATTTAATACTCAATCCGCTAGGTCAGCTTCATTTATGAATTCGCAACAGAAAGTCACGTCGACGTATATTCATGAGGACCAACAACGCTGCGTGTTTTAAATCACAGCAAAGCGCTGAGCGGGTTAACACAGCTGTGACACATCCGACACGCATTCGGAAGGTACCAGGTTCATATTTCGGATTTTTGGCGACCTCCAACCAATCCCTACAATAAAATGCTGCTATAATTTTGTGATGTAGGCCACGAAAATTTCTTAAATATAAATGGAGCAAGCTGGCTAAATTGGTAACCCTCTCGACTTACATTCGGGAGGTGTTCGGTTCAAATCTCAACTGTTATCAGGTGATGTGCTATTTCCCTAAGTCCCACTACGCAAATGCTGGGCTGGGATCTGCAATGACACTACGATCGCTTCGTTCCAAGGCATCTGCAACTGATTATACAATCATACCAATCGATGCTACCTATATAACCTATCCAACTGATGTTCATCCTATCACACTCAATTAAACCCCAGGAAATAAATGAACACCGTGCAGTCATGTTGACTGATGTACCTGTGGCATATCCAGGATCGGCGTCTTCGTCATCCGAGGCTGACAATTCGTGGTGACATTCGACCAGGGCAGGTTGATGCAACTGACAATGTTCCTGATGTCGAAACTCGAATTTATTGCCGGAACTGTTGTTGCCCCTCTCTCTGGACGTGTGGCCACTGCCACCGCACAGCACCACAGCCAGGGCGCCCCCTGGCCCCGAGATGCCTACATCCACAGACGACCGTCGCGATAACGCCTCGGCGCGAGCAGATCCTGGATGAGGAAGGGTGCCACCAGTACCACCCGCTCCGTTCTCACCGCCACCAACGGTTCCGACACTGTTGAGGCCGGGACCTGCAGGGGCCGCCGATACCGGCACACATGTAGTTGCCTGGCGACGGGGAGACCGACCCCTATCCGGAAGAACTGACGTAGCACTCCAATATCCCCAGGCCATGATGAATATTGTGACCTAGTCGACCGACCCTGCTGCTTGATCTGACCCCGTTCGGCCCAGACCCAGCTGCTCCTGCTTGCCTACATCACGCTGCCAGAGGATCCAACGCGCAAGTCGCGCTAGCAAGCTGCGACCTCCGTAACTGGCCGCCGCGCCTTCACGGCGCAGAATCCACTTCGTAAGCGATCAAAGTGATCATTTCGGCGAAATTAAAGGCGATATTTAATACAAGTATAAATAACGCTTCATTTGCATGTCACTTCCAGTTGCATTCCCAGCTGTCAGGGCTTTCACTCTAGAATGAAGTAGGTTTCCTCTGGAACATCATAACCGCGTCTAGGATAAACAGAAAACTAACGCGTTTGGGGTGAACACGCAGTGAAGTTGTGTAAGTAAACATATGTTTTTACGCCTGCTAATCAAAATTATCTGAACAGGGCAATGCTTTACTGCCACTGCTTTTTAACGAGGAGGGACTGAAACCAGATGGAATACGTGGGTCATTACAGCATTTTGATTAAAATTTAGCTGTAGAAAACGTAACTTTATACAGAAACAAAGAAAGTCAATGTTCTTACAGCGGTAAACAGGAAGATTATTGTGACGCCGTATAGTCTGGTAGATGGTTACTAAATTGTTTCGGAGGAACCTCGTGTTTCTGTTATCAATGTAGAAGAGTCGAGTGTTTGGATCTGCTCTGAAGGTGGAGGCAAGATTATCCATCGAAAGGTAGGTAACCTTCTACCAGACTACACTATGTAATATTTTAGAAAGCAGAAACCCTTGAAACCACAAAAATGTCCTGAAGGACTGCTAAGATGACGCTAGGTGGTAAAGCACTCCGTAGGTAACACATCTACTGTATCACGATACGCAGTTCTTTAGTACGAATTAGCAAAAGCACATCCTCGTAAAATCATACCCGAGATGTTTAAATACAGGGTGATTCATATAGAAGCGGCCCGACGAAATGAGGTGTAATATAAAATATACCATACAGATATTAAAGTAATTTACACATATCTTATCTCGGATTGTGTGCCCCGAGCAGAACAGGTGTTCAAAGTGTCCGCCGTTTTCAAGTAGGCATTAGAAACACTCGCTGTTCAACAGTGAACTCCATGACTGTCGCCTGCGCACTGCAGACACGTTTCGGCTTTGTCCTTGACCTTGCAGCATAAGGGCTGCCACTTGCCGGATCATGCGCACACCCTTCGACTCAGCACGGCCCACGGATTATTTTGTCGTAATTGTGAGCGGTTATATGCATCAGCTGCAGAATTATTAGCAAATTCATCGGGCCGGTTCTATACGATTCACCCTGTAGTATAATCACAGAAGTAAGGACGGGACCCTATAATTTTTTTCCCTAGTTTCGCAAACTCTCTAGTTCTCACAAATGAAGATTGTGACAGAGCCATGGAGGTACAACAATTACGAGTATTACAACTGTGATGTATCAAAGCAGGGCATGTAGCACGAATGGGAGACGATGAATGCATATAGGATATTGGTAGGAAAGCCAGAAGGAAAGAGAGCACTGGGAAGACCAAGGCGTAGGTGGCTGGACAATATTAAATGGATCTTAGAGAGATAGGATGGGATGGTATGGATTGGATTGATCTGGCTCAGGATAGGGACCAGAGGAAGACTCTTATGAAAACGGTAATGAATCTTCGGGTTCAACAAAATGCTGGGAAATTCTTGAGTAGCTGCAAAATTGGCGGCTCCTCAAGAAGGGCTCAACTCCATTAGTATTTTTTTTTTATTGCTAGTGGGGTGGGACTAAGTCCCTTGTACTGCGGCCACTTCTGGCCTACTGTACCAGCCCCAGATGACAGGTGAGGTTGGTTGTGGAGCAATTGGTGGAATGAAGATTGGCAGGGGAAACCGAAGTACTTGGAGAAAACCTGTCCCAGCACCACTTTGTCTACCACAAATCCCACTTGACAAGACCCGGAATCGAACCCGGGCCACCGCGGTGGGAAGTCAACGACTAACCGCTTGAGCTATGGCGCGGCCAGCTCCATTAGTAAGTAAGTAAGATATACAAAAGTACACAAGGCATGCAGTCTACACAACAATATTCAGTATGTAAAAAGAAAGAAGCCAATATTGCATCAACATTTGCTTTTATTACGTTTTTACAGACGCAACTTGTTTCGACCCTTACACCGGGTCATCATCAGGCGTACTAATCTCCAGTGTGTAAGTGATGGACCAAATGTCACTACCTAATTTCATATGAACAAGTCATGGCGGTATAAGCAATAGTCACTTCTACATTCCTTAAGGTCGATTCAATCCAGCTGCAGTGGTGAGCCGGGGCACATTCCAGCAAGACCAAGTCCATGCAATATAACTATTACATCTGTAGAAGATTTCACAAGTAATGAACTGAACTAATTACATTCCAGAAACTCGAGTAGGACTAATGGTATAAACGCCACTTCCTGTGAACTGCCAAGGCAAAAAAAAAAAAGATGTAAGATTTGAGGCTTTCACGGTGGTAACTATGAAGAAAGCAGTCTTCTGGGATTTGGCACCGTGTATATGTGGTGTTAACCGAAGTTTCGGAGGAACGTATCGCCTCCATCTGCAGGGTAGAAGAAAAAATATAAGAAATCTGCAAGCGAAGAGACCGTGAGAAACGGTAAAAGCAGACTGCAGATGGAGGCGATACGTTCCCCCGAAACGTCGGTTAACACCACATATACACGGTGCCAAATCCCAGAAGACTGCTTTCTTAAAAAAAAAAAAAGATATTTGCTTTAAGTTAAGCTTTCAGGCTTTAATCTTAATAAATGTTTTATAACACACTGACATTTGAGATTATACACTGAAGTTGAAATGGCTATAAACTAAGCAATCGAATATATGCAGATATTAAACAGGTATAAACACAAACTTTAAGGGAGGAACATAGACTGAGGGTGTTTGAGAACAGGGTGTTGAGGAAAATATCTCGAACGAAGAGAGATGAAGTGACGGGAGGTTGGAGAAAATTCCATAATGAGGAACTTCATAACTTGTACTCTTCTCCAAGTATAATTAGAATGATCAAGTCAAGGATCTTGAGATGGACAGGGCATGTAGCACAAATGGAGGAAGACCTCTTAGAAATCCAAGATGTAGGTGGGTGGATAATATTAAATTGAATCTTAGATAAGATGGAATATAGTGGATTGATCTGGCTCAGGATAGGGACCAGTGGAAGGATCTTGTGAACACAGTAATGAACCTTCGGGTTCCATGAATTGCTGGGAAGTTCTTCAGCAGCTGCACAATTGGCAGCTTCTCAAGAAGGGCTCAGCTCCATGAGCGAGTGTGCTAAAAAATGACCATAAAAATCAACAAACATTAACTTCAGTTCTCTGTAGATGAAGAGTATGATCTTCTAGCCGGTCGGTTAAATCGTTACTGGCCCTCGCCAGCACAGTCGTTCTTGGCGTTAGGTCTCGTTGAGATCTATGACCAAGATATTTGTTTTCTCCGAGACATGTACGTGTTTAGAAGTGAGGCCTCCTTTTCTATGAGGTGAAGGGACTTTCTGCGCAGGCGCTACGCTTATTGCATTGCAGTTTCAGTACTGATTGCTAAACTGCTGCTGGCCCCCGCCAGCACGGTGACTCTTGGTTCCAATCATGGGCTTATTTTACGGTCTATCGGCTCTGGGAGCCTTCCAGAGTACTACCACACCCTATCTTCTGGGTTATAATGCCATGTAATTCGGCAGAAGTTCGCGGACGTTTCGGAGAAACATACTACCTCATGTACATAAAATATTCAACTGGGAAGTCTCGTTATCGAAATTCAGGGCAAATGTCAATATAAAAATTCCTGATTAGAAAATAAAGTACAATGAACAGGAATAGGCAATATAATAAACTGAATTAACTTGAGATAAAATGAGGCCTGCGAAATGCGTAAACCTTCATGCCGTCGGCTTCTGCCTGCTGGAAACGAGAACACAGATAGAAAGGTAAAGGTGTCCCTGTACTTAACTAATTAAGCACTACGTCATGAAGACGTATGAGGAAGTGGATGTATAGATCCACATTTTCTTGACCTCGACACTCGCTGGAGGTGAGTGGGTAACTTCACGCTCGGGTCGCATTACCCTCAGCACCCACTGGATAGGAGGCTGGGTGGGCCCAGAGCCGGTCTGGACAACGTGGAGAAGAGAAAATTCTAGACCCTACTGGGATTCGAATTCCGACCCCTCGGCCGTCCAGCCCGCAGACAGTAGCTGTACCGACTGCGATACTCCGGCAACGAGAACACAGATACAAATCTAATCTCACCAGATTTACACGAGTCTCAGTTTGAGGCCAGAACAAATCGAGGGTGCTTGAGAGGAAAGTGGAGAGAAGAAAGTATGTGTTTCAGAAAGAGGAAACAGTAGGGAAACTGGAGGAAATTATACGTGAGAGGTTTCAGACAAGAGGAAACAGTAGGGAAACTGGAGAAAATTATATGTGAGAGGTTTCAGACAGAGGAAACAGCAGGGAAACTGGAGAAAATTATACGTGAGAGGTTTCAGACAGAGGAAACAGTAGGGAAACTGGAGGAAATTATATGTGAGAGATTTCAGGCAGAGGAAACAGCAGGGAAACTGGAGAAAATTATACGTGAGAGGTTTCAGACAGGGGAAACAGTAGGGAAACTGGAGTAAATTATATGTGAGAGGTTTCAGACAGAGGAAACAGCAGGGAAACTGGAGAAAATTATACGTGAGAGGTTTCAGACAGAGGAAACAGCAGGGAAACTGGAGAAAATTATACGTGAGAGGTTTCAGACGGAGGAAAGAGTAGGGAAACTGGAGGAAATTATATTGAGAGGTTTCAGACAGAGGAAACAGTAGGGAAACTGGAGGAAATTATATGTGAGAGGTTTCAGACAGAGGAAACAGCAGGGAAACTGGAGAAAATTATACGTGAGAGTAAGATTTGAGAATTATACGTGAGAGGTTCATAATTTGCAGCCTTTTACCTGGTTACAGTGAGATACTGAAAAATGGGTGACTGGGACATGCAGATAACCTGGTATGGATTCATAACCGTAAATTTGACATTAAGTAGATGGATTTTCTTCGGGCAGTTACGCCAGTTCTTC